GATATGGGTGGGGGGGGGAAGGAGGAGGCAGCAGCAGCAGCAGCAGCAAAGAAAGGCGGAGACAAAGTGGACGACGATGAAACCACGAGCGACAGAGACGACAGATGTGGTGACGATGATTCCGACACGGAGTCCAGGGAGAGCGGGGACGAGGATGAAGCTGGAGGGATGCGCGCGAGGCTTCGCGGTTGCCGCACCGCCGCCGCCGCATCGGTTGTAGAGGACGAAGAGAGCGAGGACGAGCCGTCTTCCTCATCGTTTGAGGAAGAAGCAGAGGGGGGCGCCGCGAAGAGGAGGGTTACTAGGCGGGGGGGGTGGAGGGCGCCGGTGTTCGGGAAGGGGGAGGGGAAGCTGCTGGCCTGCAGGGAGGAGGGCTGCGGGAGACGGTTCCACATGGGGTGCCTCAAGCCTCCCCTCTCGAGAGTGAGCCGTGGTTGTTGACGGGGGCGCGTGTAGTCAGCGATCATGTTGATGTTACCTGACAGGGAGTGTGTGTAGTCATCGCCGTGACCTACTACAGTAAGCAGATCGCGCGCGAAAACGTTCTCGAAAAGAGGAAAAAGGAACGAACGGCGATGAGAGTATACCTCGAATGAAAACGTGCTATGAGCCCACCCCGCTCGACAGCTTCGAGGCTTACGGATGTTGCTCCTAAGAATGGAGGACGCTCAGCTCAGTAATTCCTTGCGCCGCAAGTGTATTGAGGACCCCCGCCCGACGCCGAATCTCGACTGCTATTCGTTCATCACACCAAACGAACAGACTCCGAAGGAGGGGGAATGGTCGTGTCCCATTTGCCGCAAGAGGAAAGCACACGCGGAGCGAGAGGCCAAGGCCCAGGCCAAGCGAGACCAGAAGAAGCGGGAGCTGGCGGCCAAGTTGGCCAAGTCGCCCGTCAAGACGGTGCGTTTTTTTTTTTCTGACCGGTTAGCACAACAATTTCTGTTCCGCAGTATGAATCCAGGATAAATTCGCAATGATTTCATTGCGTTAGCGGAGGCACTACATGAGTTGCCTACGCGACAACATCCCCCCTGTGGGTAACAGGCCCAAAGAGACAATTTTTAGTGTTTCTGTTTCTTTTTGGGGGTGGTTTGAGTACGAGAGTTGTGCATTTGCGCGCCCCCTCCTTTTGTTGTATGAGGTCCATGTCTCGTGCTGGGGGGGGGGGGCAGCTATGACTTCGACAACAATCACGGCAAAGACCGCAATGGTAAACAACGGCGAAGCCCGCATTGACATGGGAGAGTACAACCAACCTGCCAGGGCCCTAAAACAAGCGAAGCACCACCGCCCCGAAACCGCGCCCTCTTGCCCGACGAATCTCTTTGGCAGATCAAGCTGGAAGCGACGGACGGACCTCGAAACATAATCGGCATTATCCTCCCGGAGCGGTCGGTGGAGAGCGTGTGCGACGCCCTTCGCGGATACGAGGTGGGTCGGGTCGAGGTTTCGTTTGTTGTGTGTCACGGTTGGCACCCGGAAGCTGGAGTGGTGTACCGGTTTTGAGGGGTCCCAGAAGCTCGCGAGCGTCCATGTAGTCGCGACTTGGCTGTTTTAATGGGCTAAGAATATATGAGCGGAAGGTGTCTGCTAGGGTGTTGCATGCGTGGCTATGATGTGACGGTAAGAAGAGGTAACTACAGTATCTCTCCGCGCTGTTGTCGTGCGAGCGTGCGGTGTTTGGTGTTCGCTCGTGCCCACATAAAATCGGCACCTTGCTGCCGCATCGTTCTCGCCTACCTCGTCACGTCGAAACCCTACTGCTGTTGTATCTCGCCTAGGTCGTCAACTCGAAACCCTACTGTTGTATCTCGCCTACCTCGTCACCTCGAAACCATAGTGCTGTATACCGCCTACCTCGTCACCTCGTATCCCTTCTGTATCTCGCCTACTCTTCGCCTCAAAACCCTCATGCTGTATCTCGCCTACTCGTCACATCGAAATCCTACTGCTGTTTCTCGCCTCCTCGTCATCACCTCGAGACCCTACTGCTGTATCTGTGGTATCTCCTAACGAGCAGGCCGAACTTGAGAAGCAGCGCGAGGCGGGGGAAAGAAGGGAGAGGGAGGAGAAGGAGGCCCGGGAGGCCGCGGAGAGGGATCGCCAGGAGGCCAAGCGCGCGCAGCAGGCCATGAAGCTCGAAGAGCGCAACAAGCAGAAGGGCAAGGCTCACGGGGGCGGAGCCGGAGCCGGGGCCAGCGGAGACGTGAAGAGGGAAGAGGAGGCGGGGGAAGAGGAGCAGGACGGAGGTGCCCCTGTACTGTCTTCGCTGGACGGGCGTGGGTCGTTTAACGGGGACCTGGTGCAGCTGCTGCAGGGCGGAGGGGGAGCGCGGGCGGCGAAGAGGACGGCAATGCAGCAGATGCAGAGGGACGCACGGGGAGGGGGAGGGGGAGGGGGAGG